TTCTTCCAAGACAGATTTGTTGGTTCTTCTGGCAGTCCATGGTATATTCAGTATTCTTCGCCAATACCATAATTCAAAGGCATCAATACTTTTTCAGTCTTCCTTATTTATTGCCTAGCTTTCACATGTATATGAGGCGATTGAAAATACTGTGGTTTGGGTCAGGCGCACCGTAGTCCTCATAGTGACATCTTTGCTTTTCAACATTTTTGAGGGATCTTTTGCGGCAGATTTGCCGAATGCAGTGTGATTTTTGATTTCTTGGCTGCTGTTTCCATGGGCGTTGATTGTGGATCCAAGTAAAATGAGGTCTTTGACAACTTCAGTCTTTTCTCCGTTTATCATGATGTTGCTTATTGGTTCAGTTGTGAGGATTTTTGTTTTCTTTATGTTGAGGTGTAATCCATACTGAAGGCTGTGATCTTTGATCTTTATCAGTAAGTGCTTCAAGTCCTCTTCCCTTTCAGCAAGCAAGGTTGTGTCATCTGCGTAAAGCAGGTTGTTAATGAGTCTTCCTCCAATCCTGATGTCCCGTTCTTCTTCATATAGTGCAGCTTCTCGGATTATTTGCTCAGCATACAGACTGAATAGGTATGGTGAAAGGATACAACCCTGATGCACACCTTTCCTGACTTTAAACCATGCACTATCCCCTTGTTCTGTTCAAACGACTGCCTCTTGATCTATGTACAGGTTCCTCATGAGCACAATTAAGTGTTCTGGGATTCCCGTTCTTCGCAATGTTATCCGTAATTTGTTATGATCCATACAGTCGAATGCCTTTGCGTATGTCACTAAACCATATTACATACATACTCCTGTGTGTGCACACATAAATATATTCATTTGGAAAAACTTAAAATGTGTCTGTTCAGTGGAAAAAAATAACTTTCACTGTCAGCATCTTAGAAATGAGTGACAGGTTCGTAGATAGATTGTGCCTGAGAATTGACTGTTGCAGTCATTTTGGGCAACTCTGGCATGGCCTCTGCTTGTCCAGTTTTCCATTCTGGTACCTGATGGGTTCTCTGATCACCTGTTCTGCCTAGCTCTGGGGTCTTCCTGAATTCCTGAAAGGTATTGACACCTCAAAGAGCCGAGCACAGTCCATTAGAGGTAAGTAGGTAGAAACTATTCTCAAGTAAAGTGGTTGGATTTCCCTTGTTTCACAGTAGTCTTCAGTGCTACTTATGAACAGCCTGTAGCTGCAGTGGACTGGAGACTCCACTGGGCTCGAGGAAGTTCTCCCTGGTCTGATAATCTTAGAGCTCCTGGTGGTTTGGTAATGGTAGTGCCTTTTAGAATCAAGATACTGATTCTGAGTGGGATGGATTACCCAATAAGCCAGATACTCACAGGCTTACTTGTGCTTGCTTACTAATCTATAGCAGACAGTTTCACGTGTTTTTCACCACGTCTTTGATGTGCAATTGTGAATTACAGAAATTATGCGCTACAGATAGTAAATAAATACTATTTAGCCCATGTGTGCCTTGCTTACTTGCGGCGTACCGTGCTTACTGGTTAATCCGCCCCTGAATCCCTATTGAGCTTGTTTCTGTTTCCTGGCCAGAAGCAGCATCTTTCCCCTATGAACCTTCAATGCCTCTGATAACCAGTTATTCTGAGCTAGCCATTCCCAGGTGGTAGTCTTGATTGCTCAGAAGACTTAATGGGTACCAGTGTTTAAATCTTAAGTTCCTTTTCCTTCGTGTGTTTACCGGGGGCCTTTTAAAGAGTGTTTTCATTTTCCTCTCTGGAGAACTTTCCACAAAGAAGGGAAAATCCTTTTTTTTTTTTTTTAATGCTAGGGAATTTTATGTTAGAGAGGCATTAAAATCTTTGAAAATTGTATTTGCTAAATGATTAAAGACTAAGCTTCAAAATAGAGTGCTTAAAGATCTTACCACCAATTTCTTGCCACACATTTGATTACATGGGTAGGTTGAAAATTGGAAGGAAGCAAGATTGTGTCAGCAGTAGGTGGTTACAGAATCCAGGGAAAAAGGATGTATTATCATTATTCAGTATTATATATAGCTTGAATGGCTTATGCTAAGAGGGGTAAAAAAGAAATAATAGTGTTACTGAAGTATAACGGTCATTTGGTAAATACAGAGGCATCTTTGTTAGATTTCCCTGGAGATCAGGGCTTGTAAGATGTTGCATCAAAAAATAAGAGTACTAGTGCACAAGGAATGTATATCATTAAAAGTTGCAAATAACACAGAGGTATCACACCATACTGGACAGACTGCTGAACTGGGAATCAGGAGGCAGATGCCACATCTGACCAGGGCAGAGAATAGCTGTTTGATACTGGATAAGGCATTTCACCTCTCTGGGTTTCGGTTTCTTTACGGGTTAAATGGTTGCTAAGCTATGCTAACTCCAAGGTTCTGTATACATTAATAATGTATTCCTGTTTGTGAAGAAAGCTATAAAAGAATAAGGGGTTAGGAACCACCATCTGATTTCATCTGGTTCTGTCATTAAGTGTTTACTGAACGTTCACTGTATAGCAGGCACTTCACAAGCTTCTTGGGGATGCAAAGATAATATCTTAGACCTTCAAGAAGCTCAAGGTCCAGTGGGAGGGCTCAGTGAGTCAATGGGGCAGTCCCGGTACATGGTATATGGTGAGTGCTAAGATGCAGAGAGTGAGGTGGGACCACACAGAGGGCATGACCCAAATTGGGTGACATGCTGTGGAATCGGTAAAGGGGCTTAAACCAAGAAACTAGCCAAACTTGGTGCTGCCAAGTCGATTCTGACTCAGTTGGGTCCTATAGGGCAGAGTAGAACAGCCCTATAAGGTTTCCAAGGCTGTAATCTTTATGGAAGCAGACAGCCACGGCTTTCTCCTGTGGAGTGGCTGGTGAGTTTGACTACTGACCTTTTGGTTAACAGCGGAGCACTTAAGCACTGTGCCACCGGGGCTCCTAAAAGGCTTCTTGGGCAAAGTGAAATCTTACCTTAGACCTGGAGTACAGATAGGATGAGTTAACCAGGAGAAACAAGGCTGGGGGCATTGGTGTAGGCATGAAAAAAGCACAGTATATTTGGGGATCTTCCAAGAATTTGGTGTGGCTAGGACTTGGAATTTGAGGCAAGGAGTGAAGAAGTTGAGACAAATGCTTGCTCAAGGAGGGCCTAAGGTGCCATGTTAAAGAGGCTGGGCTTTAGGGAGCCTGTGAAGGGTTTTAATCAGATTTACTTAGAGGAGTGTGGAGGTACAAATGGGGTTGACCCAGGACGCCAGGAGCCTCTCAGGTTGCCTGGTAACCAGCTAGTAGGAGGAGCTGTGCTTAAATCTAACTTCCTGGCCTGCCTTGTGGAGACTCTATGCCCTGCAGCCGAAATCCAGCTCCCCACAGGTCATAGGTACCTGCAGCTGGCGTCCTCAGGCAAACTCCCTTAGCAGCTGGCATCTCACCTCAGCCTGCTTGGCATGCAAGCCCTGGTTTGCTTTTCTGCATGTAAGGCTGCATGCCCTATGAAAAAGACTCACGAGTAAACCCCCTTCTCCCAGCACAGCCCCCAGGTGCAGCCAGCACCCTCATTTGCGTCTCTCAGCAGGAGGAAGTGATGTCTCGGTGCTGCCTCTTGCTAACCCTTTGCCGATAGGCTTCCCTGTTAAAATCTTTTGTGCACATACTGCATGCCAGTTATGAGGTTTGCCTTCACCTACCTTTTCACAGATGGGGCCCCACAGGTAAATTCCACTCATTCCAGCTCAGGCGTTTTGGAAACTGGGAAAGGGATCAGCCAACCCATACTGGGGATGGACAACATCCCTCCTAGGGGCAGTGGCGGGAAACCATTGCTGAGCTGAAATCGCTGGTGACTATGTGCCACGGAGGCCCTGGAAAGTCACCATGTAAGGCAAAATGGGACAGACTAGGCTGAAATCATTTAATCCTTTGCCACTCCCTCACACGTCTGCCAGCCTTGTGAGCCCTAAGGAAAAAGAAGGTGGGAGAAAAGCGCCTTTAGCCCTAAGTGTCATTAGAACAGTGGATGAAACCGAATCTCTTGGATTTGAAACCTGTTACTGTGTGGTGTGCTGCCGTGGGGCCTCTTGGGGGAACTGAGGTACAGCCTGAGGGTTGCAACACCCTGACAGGGAATTGTACTAACAGCGGTCTCAGGAATCACTTGAAGCTTGTGATGAGGACGATACGCCCATGAAGCAGAGTGGCGAGCCATTTGGGCGATGACCATGAGATTGCCTATTGCCAAATGCATTAGCTGATCTGACCAATTGGGAGGCAGAACAGGTTCCTGCCCTGTTCTTGAATTGGATGTGCAGGGAAATTGGATTCACACAGCCACAAAGTGGAGATTCCCTTAAGACCCTTGCATGCAAAGTGGAATACCCCTACCGAGGCTGTAGTTGCTTTGAGACACCACGGCATTTTAGCATGGCTGTATGAAAATCCTGGGCACTGGGGATAACTCTCGACCAAGTGACCTTAATTCAGAGAATGCTGGAAGAGTCGATGGCACCTTCCACGGGG